GGACTCCAGGATCATGACCTGAGCCGAAGGCAGCCGCTTAACCAACTGAGCCACTCAGGCGCCCCCAGGTATTCTAATTTTTTAAGAGAGAAATCCAAACATATTATAGAGAATTTAGAAATATATTAAAGTTCAAGGAAAAAAATGAAAATCACTCAATATCCTGACACTGTGAAAAACCATATATTTCCCTTTAGTATTTTATAAGCATATGTGTATCTTTTAGCATAAATGAAATCATACTATATGTAGTTTTGTATACAGTTTTTAAAAAACTTTTCTTTGGAAATGTAATTTTTAATGGCTGTATAATATTCCTACTTACATGTATCATAATTTATGAAACAAATCTCCCTTTGTTAAGGTTGTTTTTTTTTTCATTTATATACCATTATGATGAATATCTTCGTATATCAATCATTGACGAGATTTTTAAATATTTATCTTAAGCACGAGTTGTAAAATGGGAAATACTTAAAAAGTATATGACCCCTTCCAGAAAGTTATACTTCCACCAGCAATTATGAGGCCTGTTTCATTCATCCTCACCCAGGCTGATATTATTATTTAAAAACTCTTTGCTAATTTCACAAGAGATAAGGGAAACAAAAGCAAAAATAAGCTACTGGGACTATACCAAAATAAAAAATTTTTACAAAATGGAAAGGCAACCTACTGAATGGAAGAAGATATTTGCAAATGATATATTCTGCAAAGGATTAATATCCAAAATATATAAAGAACTTATACAACCCAACACCAAAAAAACCAAATAATCTGATTAAAAATGGGCAGAGGATCTGAACAGACATTTTCCCAAAGAAGACATAAGATGGCCAACACATGAAAAGATGTTCAATAACACTAATCAGAAAAATGCAAATCAAAACCACAAAATCATCTCACACCTGTTAGAATGGCTATTATCAAAAAGACAAGAACGAACAAGTGTTGGTGAGGATATGGAGAAAAGGGAACCCTTGTGCATTACTGGTGGGAATGCAAGCTGGTGCGGCCACAGAGGCTCCTCAAAAAATTACAAGTAGAAATACCATATGATCCAGTAATTCCACTACTGGGTATTTACCCAAAGAAAACAAAAACACTAATTCCAAAAGAGATATGCATCCCCATGTCTATTGTAGCATTTTTTACAATAACCAAGATATGGAAGCAACCTAAGTGTCCATTGAGAGATGAATGGATAAAGAAGATGAAACACACACACACACACACACACACACACAGAATATTACTCAGCCATAAAAAAGAATAAGATCTTGCTATTTGTGACAACATGGATGGACCTAGAAGATACTATGCTAAGTGAAATAAGCCAGACAGAGAAAAACAAAGATAGGATTTCACTGATATGTGGAATCTACAAAACAAAACAAAGGAACAAACAATCAAACAAAAGCAGAAACAGACTCAAAGATACAGAGAGTTGGTGGGGTGGGCAAAATGGGTGAGTGGGAGTGGGAGGTACAGGCTTCCAGTTACAGAATAAATAAGTCAAGGGGATAAAAGGTACAGAATAGGGCACAGAGTCAATGGTACTGTAGCATCCTAGGGTTGTAGGGTGACAGACTCGCATGGAGCAGAGCATGACATACAGAGCTGTGGAATTACTATGTTGTACACTTGCAACTAATGTAGCATTGTGTGCCAAATTTACTGCAATTAAAAAAAAACAAATTTCACAGGAGATAAATGATATCTGATTTTAATCTACAGGTCTTTGGTGATTGATGAGGATATATTCTTATATTCTTATCAGCCATTTATTTTTCTTCTGTGAATTATTTTTTCATATTCTTTACGTATTTTTCTGAATATCTGAGCTTTACTAAACAAATTTTGAGCTACCTACCTATCAAGAGTATTAATTCCTTATATTTGTTCAATATCTGTACGCTCTGCCACTGATTTTTTTTCTTTTTTTTTTTTTTTTTGCTTTATGATTTCTTCCATTATTTTTGTTTAGAAAGTCTTTCCTGGTTGGGGCGCCTGGGTGGCTCAGTTGGTTAAGCAACTGCCTTCGGCTCGGGTCATGATCCCAGGGTCCTGGGATCAAGCCCCACATCGGGCTCCCTTGCTCAGCGGGGAGCCTGCTTCTCCCTCTCCCTCTGCCTGCTACGCCACCTGCTTGTGCTCTCTCTGTCAAATAAATAAATAAAATCTTAAAAGAAAGTCTTTCCTGGTTTCAAGATAAAATTCTAGTTTAAAATAAAATGCTTCTCTTTTCTGCCTATATTCAACTCCATCTGAAGTTTCTTTTTGTATGGTATGAGATGAGCTGCTTCTTCTTTTTTTTTAAGATTTATTTATTTATTTATTTGAGAGAGAGGGATAGCAAGAGAGCACAAGCAGGAAGGAGAGGGAGAAGCAGGCTCCCCACTGAGCAGAGAGCCCGACATGGGGCTTGATCCCAGGACCCTGGGATCATGACCTGAGCCGAAGGCAGACGCTTAACCAACTGAGATACCCAGGCACCCCATGAGATGAGCTTCTAATTTTATTCTTTTTTTCTAGTTATCTAACTGTTCTGAAGCCTTTTTCTGACCAGTCCTCACTGTTCCCATCCATTTGTGCTGCTACTTTTACTGCAGACTTTAGGCTCTGTCTCTCTGTCTCTCTGCCCTACTCCACCGACTTGCCCATAATTCCCTACCAGTTCCACGTGATTCAAATTACTGTAACTTCACGGTATGTGACATCACTTTTAAATGTCCCTTTGGAGAACCAATGCCAAATACCGGGCTAAGATACACACCGCCCAGCAGTTGTGTCCCCAGCACTGGCCGCTTTCCCCATCATGCACTGCTCAGAATTGCAATCTACAAGGCTGAGAGCCATTCAGAATAGTCAATTCCCTGGCAATGGACAGAGGGTTAGGGCTAAGAAGAGATGCAAAAGCTCCAAAGCATACTAATCTAGCCTATAACCTGAAAAAGTGAAATGAATCTACAGTAGGTCAAATTCTGGTATAAACTGTGTCAAAAGACTGTCAACATTTCTGGTTGTATTAGAATCTGGCTAATTAAATACGACTTGAATGAGCTGGACAAGGCTAGAGCTTTTTTTTTTGTCATACAGAGATTTTCAGATGCAGTGGGATTTGGCCTATTATCAAAAGGCACCATCTCAAGGCTCCTGGGTGGCTCAGTCGGTTAAGCAAAACCATCTGCCTTCGGCTCAGGTCATGATCCCAGGGTCCTGGGATGGAGCCCCGTGTCGGGTTCCCTGCTCAGTGGGGAGTCTGCTTCTCCCTTTCCCTCTGTGTACTTGTGTTCTCTCTCTCTCAAATAAAATAAAATCTTCATAAAACAAAAAGACACCATCTCCACATTGCGACACTGAGCACAGAGCTAACAGAAGGAGAATCCAAGTAGGAGAAAGTTTTTTGTGCTCCCCATACCTGAACTTTCAGTTCTAGTTCTCTGATCTGGTCTTCTTTCACCTTCATGTCCATCGTGAGCTTCTTGCCCTCTGCTTCTAATTCTCTGATCCGATTCCGTAAGGTTTCGGTGCACTCCCCCCTTTTGCAAAAGAAGAGAAGGAAAGAAAGGGATTTAAAAGACTAGAGGTTTACTTATGCTGCAAGATTGGTATTTCTCTTATATTCCAGAGTCTGTCCGGTTTTAGCTTTTGGCTCAGTCTGCTCATTCTCTGTTCTTTGATAATTTCAACAATGATCTGAAACAATTAATTGGGTATCTAATATGAACCAGGCACCAAGTGAGGTACTTTACCCATTCTGCCTTCTTTGCAAGGGTAGGATATATTGTCCCATTTTCCAGAGAAGAAAACTAAGACTACACAGATATAATACCAGTCCAACCTCACCTAGCTGGTAGGTCACAGAACTCCAGGGATAAGAACTGAGGCTTTCCAGCTTCCCAATGCAGCAAGCTCCCCCCAGGCCACATGACCTGAGACAGTACCCGGGAGCTGAGCAAGAAACTGGATGGGTACTATCTCCAGCAGGGGGCAGTGAGCTAAAACATTTTTCACTTTTGAGGGTCTATGCCTTGGAAAGTTCACCTTTCTTGAGTCATGAAGTTGCCAGAGCGTTAGGTTGCTTCTCAGGGCTGTAAGAAGGACAAACTAAAAAAGATGATGGCAATAGCCAGTCCAAAGCTGATTAACCGTTTAAGTTTCAGAAACAGCTAGATGGAGAAGATAGGTGTCTTCTGCCTACCAAAAAGGAAGGTCCAGTGAGGGATTTACACCTTGAGATTTACTTGAGAATAAAAACAGCCTCTACCTAAGTGATGGTAAACAAGGACCATCAAAGGATAAGATCAAAACAAATAAGCTTGACTGGAAGCCAAAGGGAGTCAGGGAAGAGATTAAAACCAATGTACTGATTCTCAGGCATAAGATACTGAACAATATGGTTAAGGAACTGTCATATCCTCCTCAGTGGACTTTATTTCAGGTTAGGAGGTGCTGGATGAATTAAGGACAGCACAGGTCACACACGGATGACTGTTCAGAAAAATCTCCTGCAAGCCTAAGTGTGCTTCAAAAACATGTGCTTTTTACAGAGGTCTGTGCTTACAAATCTTTAAAGGAATGAACAAACAAAACCCCCACATCCTAGGCAGGCTAGTGAAGTGTGTCTTGTGAGTCTGTCTGGATGCTGATGGGCCAAGTGAGCTCAGCCATCTGCACTCCAGAGTTGGCTGGGGGAGGCAGGAGCCCAGAGGAGGAAAGAGTTCTCTCTGGCTGTTATTTCCTTAAACGTGAAATGATGATCCACCAGTTCTTCTACCAATGCCAGAACCCAAAAGAAGGCTTTTAACATGCCACATACAAAAAA